GGAGAAAAGTTTTGCAAACGATGAAACCGACAAAGGCTTGATCTCCAGAATATATAAGCAGCTCATACGACATAATAAGAAAAGAACGAACAACCCAATCCAAAATTGGGCAGAAGACCTAAACAAGCAATTCTCCAAGGAAGAAATACAAATGACCAATAGGCACATGAAAAAATGCTCAAGATCACTAATTATCGGAGAAATGCACATCAAAACTACAATGAGGTATCACTTCGCACCAGTCAGAATGGCCATCATTCGAAAGTCCACAAATGACAAGTGCTGGAGAGGCTGTGGAGAAAGGGGAACCCTCGTACACTGCTGGTGGGAATGCAGTTTGGTGCAGCCACTATGGAAAACAGTGTGGAGACTCCTCAAAAGACTAGGAATAGACTTACCGTATGACCCAGGAGTCCCGCTCCTGGGCATATATCCAGAAGGAACCCTACTTCAGGATGACACCTGCACCCCAATGTTCATAGCAGCACTATGTACAATAGCCAAGACATGGAAACAGCCTAAATGTCCATCGACGGATGACTGGATAAAGAAGAAGTGGTGTATTTATACAATGGAATACTACTCAGCCATAAAACCCGACAACATAACGCCATTTGCAGCAACATGGATGTTCCTGGATGTAGTATGTTTTATAGTTTCATTTTTTTAATTAGTTTGTAAGTACACAGTTTTCCCTCCTAGTTTTAAGTTTCTTTCCCTAGAGATTATTACATGCATGTTTCACTTTTCTAAGTCTAAAGATAACCAGTATCTTTTCTCTCCCTCATGATATACAAGGGCTGTAGAACACTAGCTACATTTAAATTCTTCCTAACTCAAAATGGATTGAGACTTGCATGTAGGACTTAAAACCATGAAACTCCTAGAAGAAAACATAGGCAGTAAGCCCCTTGACATCAGCCTTGGTGAAATAGTTTTTTTTTTTTCTTTTAGATTTGACACCAAAACCAAAGACAACAAAAGCAAAAATAAACTGGGACTGTGTTAAATTAAAAGCTTCTGCATGGCAAAGGAAGCATCACCAAAGTGAAAAGGCAACCTACTGAGTGGGAGACGACACTTGCAAATCTGATAAGGGGTTCATGTACAAAATACAGAAGGAATTCCTACAGCTCAATAGCAAGACAACAGTCTGATTTTTTTTAAATGGGCAGAGGACCTGAATAGACATCTTTCCAAGGAATACGTCTAAATGGCCAACGGGGACATACAAAAGATGCTCAGCATCACTAATTACCCTGGACATGCAGATCAAAAGCACAATGAGAGATCACTTCATCCCTATTAGAATGGCAATTATCAAAGAGACAAGAAATAACAAAGATTAGTGAGGGTGTGGAGAAAAGGGAACTCTTGTGCATTGTTCGTGGAAATGTAAATTGGTGCAGCCACTATGGAAAACAGTATGGAGGTTCCTAAAAAAAGCAAAAATAGGACTACCACGTGATCCAGCAATCCCACCTCTGGGTATTTATCCCCACTAAATCAGACAGAGAAAGATAAATGCCATATGATCTGACTTACACCTGGAATCTTAAAACAAACAAACAAAAACTGAATTCATAGGTACAGATTGGTGGTTGCCGAAGGCAGGGGATGGAGGGTGGGCAAAATGGGCAAAGGTGGTCCAAAGGTACAGACTTCCAGCTATAAAATAAATAAGACCTAGGGACCTAATGTGCAGCGTGGTGGCTAGAGTTAACAGTACTGTATTGTATATTAGGAAGTTTCACAATATATACAGATATTGAATCATTATGTTGGCACCTGAAACTAATATAATGTTAGCTGTCAATTATATCTTAATAAAAAATTGCACAGCTTAAAAAAAGAATTACTATAGTCTTCTTGCCAGAAATTATGAAAACCAGAAGATACTAATAAAATTTGTACAGTGCTGAAACAGACAAAACTGTCAATCTAGACTTTTACATCCTGTGAAAATATATTTCAGAAGTAAAGAAGGAACACAGACATTTTCAGAAACAAAAAACAAAATCAGAGAGTTTTCACCAACTGAACTTAACCTTAAGAAATGTTACTGGAAGTTCTTCAGGTTGAAGTAAAATAATACATACCAGATATGGATTTGGATCTACAGATAAAGAAGAGGGCTGAAACTGATAAATACATGTGCAGATTGTGAAGATTTTTCTCATAGAAGCCTAGATTACCAGAGGCTCAGACCTTACATGTTAAAAGCTCAGTCCCACAAGGCTGTCCCCCACTTTAGGTGCCACTTGCAAGTCCCAGGGGCCCTCTATGCTTCTGACAAACTGGCTGTCAGTAGGTGCTTCCCATGATCCCCTCCCCAGTTTCCATATTTCGCTAGAATGGCTCACAGAACTTAGGAACACACTTAAACAATTCCTTGTTTATTATAAAGGCTATTATAAGCCAGATCTCACCAATGAAGCTACCTAGGAGCCGCCAAGAATTGCCATATTACACCAATTTATACTGAGTCCTTTTAAGGTTGTTATTTCTCCTATGAATATGACTTTGGCCACATCTCATAGGTTTCTTCTCTGTTTGTTGGAAGATGATTCGGGATCAGGGTCATAGCAGCTTCTTAAAAATGTGTGAGTTTTCCATCTTTGGACTACACCATATTATGGTATGTGTATATTCCATGAACATTAAAAAGTAGAACTTTCCCATAAAACGCTGCAAGTCTGGAGTCTTTTTTCAGGAAATTATTTTTATATCTTTTTGGATTTTGGTGTCTGAGAGTTGAAAAGGGGAATTTCAGTGTGAGTTTAATTTGTATTTCTCAAATTATGAATGACATTGATTCTCTCTTCTTATGTTTAAAAACCACTTGTATTTCTTTTTCTGTGAATTTCTGTTCACTTCCTTGTCCACTTTCTATTGCATTGCTGTTGATAATTTACAAAGAGAATCAATTAATGATTGATTATCATTATCAATGGAAAATCAGTTAAGATAAATATGTAACCACCTCACATATGTATTAATCAACATATCAGTGTAGTGAATTACATTCTTTCAGTCCTTCATTCAAACCATATTTACTGAACACCTACTAGTGTCACATGAATAGGACAGAAAAAAAATCTCCGGACTCATGGATAAAGGAAAAAAGAGCTTAAAATTATATATATATATATACACACACATAAAACATTACATATATATATATATACATTTCAAGATTGGTAAGTGCTAAAAAAAGGCAAAGTGAGTAGTAAGTCATGGTGTGATAGTCTTTTAACAGGTGATTTTTTTTGTCTCTGATTCTTTTTCTCTCTGTATGTGAATGTGTGTGCAAGCACATGTGCAATGTTCATTTCCAGATTGATGTCAGTCATATTGATTTTAAAGATTAAATTGGTATACTTGATATCTTTTCCATGTTCTTTAACCTTTTCAATAACATGGGAATATTTTGTTTCTTGAAGTTTTGATCAAATAAACTGGACTCGATCTCTCTTTCTCCTTGGATTAAATCTTTGGCCACCTTTCAAATTTTCCCTTTAGTACTGGTGTCAAGAAGCTATCTATCTCTTCTTAAGTCAATTTTGGAAATTAAGATACTCCTAGAAATTGTCTCATTTTATCTGGAGTCAAAATTGATTTGCTTTTTAAATATTTAGTTTTCACCCTCTCTCTCATGCCTAAACCGTATTGATTTTTATTGTATCTTTGTATCATCACCACACCAATTTATTGTGCACACAGACCCTGCGGGTCAGGAGTTGGGACAGGGCAAACTAGGCACCTGGTTTCTCAGCTCAGTGATGTCTGGGGCCTCGGCTGGGAAGACTCAAGCAGGTGCGGGCCAGAATCCTCCGAGGGCCCCCTCACCCACCTGTCCCCCATCTGGCTGGGACAACTGGAAGGCTGGGCTCTGTGGACCAGCGCACCTCCACGTGGCCCCTCCAAGGAGCTTGGTTTCCTGGCATCATTGCGACCTTCGGGCGCTGCCTCCTCTTACAGGCAGCTCAGGGATCCCAGAGCACCTCGTCCAGGGAACAGTCCTGAAGCTGCACCGCCTTCCATGACAGCCTTGGAAGTCACACGGCATCTCTTCCGCTCTACTCCACGGGAGCAAGCAGGCACAGGCCAGCCCAGATTCGGGCGTCGGGGACACAGACCCCCACCTCTCAAGAGGAGGCGGGAAAAGCCCATCTTGTAGCAGAGCACGTGGGACGGACGATAGCTGTGTCCATCCTGGAAAAGACTCTCGGCCACACAGTTGCAGTTCTTGTCACCCGCACCAGTCGAGAAATGGCGGTGAGCGCAGTGCCTTCGCCTGCACTGGGAGTGTACTCTGTGACGTCGGCGGGGATGTCTGTGGCCCGGGCAGTGTGTTGACCCACCACGACCCACGCCGGAGTCGGAAGGGGCACCCCACCCATCTCTCTCCCCGCGGCTCCCAAGCCTCCTGGGGGCGTCACAGCCCGTGCCCATGCATCTACTGCCACCTACTGGCGACAGCCTCCAATTGCAGATTTTGTTCTCTTGAGAGCGACAGGAACCTCTTCAGTTCCGTCCAACAAACCAGTCCCACCCAAGCCGAAGCGAGAATGCTGCGGCTTCTCTGACGACGTCCCTCATCTAGAAGACGCGGACGATGGCAGCGTCTCCATCACAGAATGTTTGGGACAATGAATAACTGCATATGCCCCCTGAAAGCGGTGCCCGGCACAAAACATGCTCCGTTACTTGTGTTTCATTCCACTCGCAGTAAAACGCACGGGGCAGTCGGGGTTTGGATAGATCTAGAAAGACGTATAGAGTGAATTGAAAACCGAGTCTTCACGCAAGCAAGCTGCCCCCCCCCACCACCACCATGGCCTGGCACAGCAGAGTCACGCAGGGAGGGCTGGTTGGTGAGCAGATGCACGTGAGGACAGCAGAGACTTGGGGGGCGCTGGACACCTGAGACTTCCGTCTCAGGGACAGTCCCCTCCAACCCGAAGGCAAGGGGGAGACAGGGCATCTCTGTCCCACCGTCACCAAGACCAGCCCTTCCTCCAGCTCAGGAGGTGCCTCAGGGCCCCCTTCATGTCTTTATTCCTGAGACTGTAAATGAAGGGGTTGAGCATGGGGGCCACGAGCGCGTACAGCACCGTGGCCGCCGAGTCCTCGGCTGTGTAGGAGGAGGAAGGGCGCAGATACAGCCCGAAGAGGGTCCCATAGAATAGTGACACCACAGCCAGGTGGGAACTGCACGTGGAAAAGGCTTTCAGCTTGCCCTGGGAAGAACGCAGCCTTTGGATGGCTGAGAAAATGCGTACGTAGGAGAGAGAGAGAAAGAGGAAGGGACAGACAAAAAGTAAGCTCCCCATGGTGTAGACGACCAGCTCACTGGTGTGGGTATCTGAGCAGGAGAGCTTCAGCAGTGCGTAGAGCTCACAGAAAATGTGGTGGATTCTGACACTTGCACAGAATGACAGCGTACTCATCAGGAGGGTGTGGACCAGGGGATAGACATTTGTGACAATCAGAGCCACGGACACTGACATGATGCAGAACTTGGGGCTCATGGTGGTGGTGTAGTGAAGAGGGTGACATATGGCCAGAAATCGGTCATACGCCATCAGTGCCAAGAGGACATTGTCCAGTTCTAGAAACAAGATGAGAAAATACATCTGGGCGAGGCACCGGCCATAGGAGATGGATTGGCTCTGGGCGTGCATGTTTAGCAGCATCTTTGGTACAGTGACAGAGGTGAAGCAGACATCAACGCAGGACGGGCTGGCTATGAGGAAGTACATGGGGGTGTGGAGGGTGGAGGTGGCGCTGATGGCCAGGACGATGAGCAGGTTCCCCACTATGGCGACCAGGTACATGGTCAGGAACAGACAGAAGAGGAAGGGCTGGTGTTCAGGCACCTCTGACAGTCCCAGGAGGAGAAACTCTGGGGTGACACTCAGGTTGCCTTTCACCATGCTGCTGGCTTCTGCAAACAGGCACTGGAAACACGTGTGTCAGCAAGACAGGGGCAACCTGGGGACCTTCAGCACCGCTGAAATCGTCCTTTGTGACGTTTCGGGGCGGAACGCCAACCTGGGGTAGGAAGGACAGGACTGACTTGTGGCTCTGCCTGGTCACCACAGAGTGCAGGAGGGCGGAGTGGAAGCTCTCCCTCAGGGCGGGAGCCCCGCCTGCTTCCCCAGGAGGAAAGAAACACCAGGCAGAGAAGACCAAGAGAACTGAAAAGATAGGGCCTGGTTTGGGGAGAGCGGGTGGAAGTGGGTTGACTTGTGCATTGGTTGGGCCTGGTTTGGGGAGAGTGGGTGGAAGTGGGTTGACTTGTGCATTGGTTGGACCCCTGTGGGCCTTTTAATTTCATCCGCGTGAGAGTCTGGGCGAAGACCATTAGGCAAAATTCTGTGTGTGCGCGTGTGCGCGCGCGCACATAGACACATCTACTTCGTAGACGTGGACAGAGACATACCTGCTCATATGTACATATGCACAGAAAGACGCACGAAAAGATGGTCACGAAAACGCTAACCAACAGTGGCTATCTCTGGGGCGTGACGTCTATACCTGCATCCTTTTTCAACGATAAACACGTGTCAGTTTCCCAAATGATACTCCATGGACGTTAATGTGTCTTTCAGGAGGCCTCCGTGATGGGCTGAGTTTGAGGCACAAGCACAGTTAGGGTTCAAGGCTCATGAGGCCTTCTCACGTGAGGGCTCATCTAAGGCGTCATGTCCCTGTGTCTGTCTCTCCTTCTCAAGCTCACGTCATGGAATCCACAAAGGCTAGCAGGATTCCACTAGATAGACAGATCTACACTCATAAATCTCAAATTCAGATGAGGCAGAAAACGTAGTAAAATCTGATTTTAAAAGACTGACCCGAGAAGAGGTGATGATGAATAGATAAACATTCCTGGAAGAAACTGAAGAAGATTTTATGGACCTCCACCAAAAATAAACCACATGCTTTTAACCCAGATGACTTTAAGAGGAAATTCTTTTAATTTGTCAGATTGTCAACCCGCTAACCCCTTACTCAAATAGTAAAAGTTTACAAGGGAAGGAATGACATTTCTCTGGCTCACCACTGAGTCAGCATGGCCTCAAGCTAGCATAACTCTGAAATTAAAATTGGGTAACAGCAGCATACATACAAAAGAATAATGAGGCAAAAATCTTCACTACATTCAAATCCAGCCCAGCAGTATATTGAAGGGTTAAGGCATCAAATAGGAATCTATGAATAATTGACATTATGACATCTATCAATGCAAATAATCACACAAGCTGACGGAAAGACAAGACTTTGTAATACACGTAATGGATGCTAGAATGGCACTTGTCAAATCTGGCATTCCTACTTGATATTTAAAACCCTTAGTGAGACTGGAATCAAAGCCTCATCTCAAAGCACCAGAGCCTGGACATCCTTCCCCCCAACCCAGCTGCCTCATCCTGGCCTCTCCCCTCAGACCGCAACCTTCACTGGGCCCTCTGGAACTCTTAATTTGTAATCGGTCTCTTCTCAAAGCAGTCCCTCTACCTTCCACCATAAAGGAGGCTTGGCTCTGTACCCTGAGGACACTACCTTCTCGCAGTTCTCTCCAAGGTAGGCTGTCTTTTCTTCTCGACCCCCATGTACCTCAGGGTCCGAAGGCAGGGTCAGTGGCCTCTCCTCACTCCCAGGGCTACTCTTCAGCACAGTCTTTCCTCTCCTCTTGAAAAAGAAAGCCCAAGAAGGACTTCAGCAAAAGCAGCAGAAGTTGGGAGCTCCAAGGGCCTGTCCCTCCACAGAGACAGTGAAAAAGTTAGCAAAGATGGTCAGAGTCAATGCTGTCAGAACTCATAAAACTCGTCAAGTGTTCCCAGCAACCAAGCAAGAAAGGGTGACTTAAAAGCAGTAGAACTTCCTGGTGTCTTAACTTCAGCCTTCCCCCAACATCCCTTCCCAGTACAGCAGCAGTCTTGAAGACGGCAGCCTACGTTCCCAATGTGATACTTGGCTCAGGAGGCAGGAGCAAAGAGCAGACTTTGTTCCCAAGGAATTGTTTCTGTCTGTTTGGACCTATCTGGGGATTCGCTGAAGAACTGACTCAAGACACTGGCCTTGGTTCACCCAACTCAACTCTCTCAGGGCAGAAAAGCAGCTAAGAGAGTGTTTCTTGAAAACAACGAACACGCCACTGCCTCTTGGGGCCAAAGATTACAGCTGGGACAAACAAAAGACACAGCAAACCTTTGGAAGAAACATTGGGTAAAGTTACCTTTGGGAATATTGGCTTTGAAAAGCTCTTGCTTATAATGTGGAATCTAGAAAGTCATGTGCATGCCTAGGGCCAGATTCATGCTCAGAAGGGACTTGAGAGTACTGTAAGCTGTCACCTCCAGTTGATATTTAGGCTCAGAAAAACATACACAAGAAATGGAGACAGAGGCAGAGTTGTAAACAGACTGGCTAAGCATTGAAGGAGTGCCCCAACACAGAGCCAATCTGCAGAGACCAGGAGAGTATTTTATTCTTCATTTCCGTTCTTTTTCCCCCTCTCCAGGTGTTTAAGGAAATCTCTGCCAATCCACCAGCTGACCAAAAGCTAAAAGAACAGATACTTCAGAGACCACACATGATAAAACATAGTTTTTGGAAAATAGTTTAGGAAAGCCACCCAACCAATACGCAACCACAACCCACAGAAAGCAACAAAGCAGACTCTGAAGATGGGGAAGAATCCAATTTCCAGAGTTACTACATTGTAACACTCAAGATGTCCAGTTTTTAATGAAAAATTATGAGGCATGCAGAGAAACAAGTAAATATGGCCCATTCATAGGAGGAAAATAAATTAGCAGAAACTCGTCTTGAAGAGACACAGACATTGGACTTACTAGAGAAAGGCTAAGTTGATTTTCTTAAATATGTTCAAAAAGCTAAAGGAAATGAGGAGAACACTGTCTCAACAAATAGAGAATATTAATAGAGTGACAGAAATTATAAACAGGAACCCAACAGAAGATGTGGAACTGAATAGTACAAAAACTGAAATGAATAATTCATGATAAGGCTTCAATAGCAGATATGAGCAGGCAGAAGACAGAATCGGTAAACTGGACGATAGACAAAAAGTGAAATTACTTAGTCTGAGGAGCAGAACGGGAAACAGACTGAAGAAAAATGAACAGAGCCTAAGAGCACCGTGGAACACTATCACGCAGGCCAACATATGCCTTGTGGGGGTCCCAGGAGAAGGAAAGAGAGAGAGGGCCCAAAACGCTATTTGAATAACCAATGGCCAAAAAATGCCCCAAACTGATGAGAGCGTGAATCTACGCATCGAAAAAGCTCAATGAGCCAAGGGGGCGGGGGGTGGGAAGGGACAGACTGGGTGTTCAAAATGCAGAATAGATAAACAAGATTATACTGTATAGCACAGGGAAATATGTACAAGATCTTGTGGTGGCTCACAGAGAAAAAAAATGTGACAATGAACATACGCATGTTCATGTATAACTGAAAAATTGTGCTCTACGCTGGAATTTGACACAACATTGTAAAATGACTATAACTCAATAAAAAAAATGTTAAAAAAGAAAAGGAAAAAGCTCAATGAATCCCAAATATGATAAAAAACCAAGAGATCCATGCCAAAACATATTATACTCAAACTCAAAAGACAAATAGAGAATCTTGGAAGCAGAAGAGAGGAGCACTTTGTTATGTACAAGGGATCCTCAGTCAGACTGACGATTTATCATCAAAATCCATGGAGATCAGAAGGCAGTGGGGTGACATATTGGAAGTTCTGAAAGAAAACAAAATTGTCAACCAAGGATTCTCTATCTGGCAAAACTTCCCTCCAGAAATGAAGAAGAACTTAGGGCATTCCCTGACAAACGAAATCTGAGAGAATTCATTGCTAGTAGATCAACCCTGCGAGCAGTGCTGAAGGGAGTGTTTCAGGCTGAAGTGACAGGACACTAGACAGTGACTTGAAGTCATACAAAGAAATAAAGACCGTAAGTAAGAGTAAACACAGAGGCGAATGTAAGAGTCAATCTTAATGTATTTTGGGTTTTTAACTCCTCTCTTTTCATAAATGATTAAAAAACCAAAAGCATAAAACAATGCTAATGGGCACACAGTGTATCAAGATGTAAACTGCAACAATAAACACATAAGAGGGGGAGGTGGAGCTGTAGAGGAGCATACTTTTTGTATACTCTTGAAGCAAAGTCGGCACTGATTCAACCTAGATTGTATAAGTAAAAGATGTTCATTGTAATCCCCAGGGAAACCACTAAGAAAATATACAGTGAAATAAAAGAGAAGGGAATAAAGATGGTATCTGGAAACTACCTATCTAACCCAAATTAGGCACTAATGGAGGAGCTGACAGACAAAAAAGATACGAGACACACGGGGGAAGCACAGTGGCAAAAGGAAGTGCTCTCTCATCAATGACTACTTTACATGTAGGTGGATCACATGCTCCAGATGAAAGCAGGCTGGCAAAATGCACCTACAAAACACAACCCAACTACATGCTGTGTACAAGAGACTCACTTTAGAGCCAAAAGCACAGACAGGTTGAAAGTTAAGGGATGAAAAAAATATTCCATGCAAATAATAACCAAAAGAGAGCTGCGGTGACTACATTAATATCAGATAAAATAGACTTTAAGCCAAAAGCTGTCATGAGACAAAAATTACATAATGATTAAAAGGTCAATTTGTCAAGAAGATATAACTAGTGTAAACGTATACACACCTAACAATAAGTCCCAAAATACATGAAGCAAGCACTGACAGAGTTGAAGGGAGAGAGCCAGTTCCACAATAATAGTTGGTGACTTCAATACTCTACCTTCAATCACGGATAGAACACCCAGACGGCAGATCAGTGAAGAAACAGAGGACTTGAACAACATATAAACCAACCAAACCTAACACACGTGTACAGAAT